CGGGTCGACCTAGTCGACATCTTCAGCTGCCATTGGATCCCAGATGAAATATCCCGGACGTATCTGATAATTCTTCTGCCACGCACGCTGCTTCGTTTTAAAACAGTTGCACCCACGCCCCGGCAGTCCTCGGCAGTCCCGGGAGTAACCATACACTTATCTTCGGGTGGGCCGCTTCGGATATTAAAGATCGCAGATTCTGGTCTTCATATATATATATCTCCAACATCAGCAGAACCTCAGGCATGTGATAGTGGCCCTTCTGCGCATGTTGTCACTGTCGATAGGTTAGGTCTCGTGATAAGGGGAGTACATGCAGATCTCAGGTATGTAATATCTACCTAACCTAGATATAATTTAAGGCTGCTTACTCCCCTCTCGGTGTTTTTAATTCAAGTAAGCCTATCAGCCCGGGCAAATCTATCTGAGCACTCTACGAAATCTTGCTAGCGGCCTCAACTTTGCTGGTTATATTTAATAACATGCGCTCTCTAAGTACCTAAGATATGAGCAACTGGAATTATAATACGTTGAACTCTTGGCATTCAATAGAAAATACCATCTTGAGGTACTCAGATGAACAATATCATGGTTAAGAAGGCCCTATCAAAGAGTTTTATACTGTTCCCCGGATGGGCCAAGATCCGGTTCTGCGGCGCCGGACTAGTCCCGGCACACTGCCAGTAAGACTCTTATAGATCTTGCATCTTGAATATATATCGCACTCTCCACTAACGGTAAAACAGGCAAAAGGCGGGGCGGGCGGGAACTATACGATACCTACGGCAAAGCTGCATCGCTTGATTCAAGGGTTGCCTAAAGCCGGACGGATCAGCAGACGGCAAAGCATATTCGGACCATTCTTAGGTAATCTTCATCTCGCCTCTATGCGTCTGTAAATATAAAGGTTTCTTAGTATGTGCTCGTCTGATACCTCCAGAACCGTTGACATGCTCTCGAGGGTGGGGGTGCTGTCCCTTAGCCATGGTCTAGTAGACCAATCAATGAACAAGGCTGTTCCAAATATGGTATGTATCACAATTGTGGCAGATATTAACTTGGACGAGTGTGTATAGTTATAAAGGAACTGAAAGATGGCAACGAGTTATCGTTATTACATATAGAGTAACTACTATTATACCTAAGAATCTATACACATATATAGCTAGAGGATGTAACGTGATGGTAGGACCGGGGAGAGGCAACTCATTAAATGCACTCTCTACTTATACGTATAACATTTATAAATGGCCTTGGTGAACCGAAGATGCTAAAAGTTGATCCATAAGTACACTATTGAAAGGCTCATAGTAAATATACTTCTCCATCCTTTACCCCTGACCGCCCCTAAAAACTCAACGACGTACTTAAATGAGTAAAACAAGCCATAAGACATCGCACCAGTCCCATATCACAGCATTAATAACACAAACTCCTATTGATTATACCTGCCTATTATCTACATATATTCCAACATGGCCAGTGAGGCAATCCTTTATCCCTTATTCCAGCCGGGTTCCAGTCCTATCCTACCAGGTAATGTGCAATCTTCCCTCGCAATTCAAGAGCTCAACACGCCCTCTAAATCACTAAATTTCTCGCGGAGAAATTCCTGCACTTCCGGATTCCCGCCTAGCCCGGCCAACAGCCCCTTCGAATCACCCTCGATCTTAAGACCCTGGAGTCCGGTAGCACGCGATAGAGCCACGTACACTTGGCCCTCTTCAAACGCCTTTGACAAGTTGACAATAACGCGATCAAGCGTCAACGACTGACTCTTGTGGATCGTCATCGCCCAGGCAGGTGCCAGAGGAATCTGCGTCCGGGTAAGCAAGCTGTACGGCCTCTCGTCCCCGAGCTCTGCAATAGTGCAATTCGCATACACGGTGCGAACGTGACCATTGTGAAAACGGACTATCGGCCACACCTTGTACTTAACGCCAGGGCTGTCTATGAAATTTTTAATTTGCCCCTCTTTCATCTCGGCATAATCACCGAATATCTTGTTCTCCGGTTCATTATTTCCGTCCTTGGCCTTTGGTAGTTTCTTGGGATCATACTTCTCAAAACCGCAGATAATACCCTGGCTACCGTTGCACAAACCTGCATCTAGGTCCAAGTTGACGAGCAAAACTACAAGCATACCCTTCTTGAGCTGCACGCATTCCTCGAAACGGTGGTCATCAAGAGCCTTTAAGGGGCCTTCTGGTTGGACCCCGTTAGATTTCCTCATGCCTTTCCAACCTAGATGCGGATGAGTGGACTGCCGCCATATAAAGTTATCATAGCACCAGTAAATGTGGTTGATGGTTTTCAATCTCTCGAATTCCCGCTTGTTGACGTTAGAAACCTCCTCCCGGGTAGCGTACAGTCTAGTAGCATGGTGCACCATACATTTATGGTTCATTAAGAGATCTGTATCGGCTTGGCTGAGTTGTCGTCCAATCCTACACTTCTGTAATATTCGGATAAAGCTTTCATCACTCTGCCGGTGAATGGTGTTAAGGTGGACATGAACAAAATTGCATTCCGCCCAAGCCTTGCTCCGGAAGGCCCACTTATCTTCATCGCGATATTCATGGCCTCGCTTGCAGATGTAGACTCTGCCATCAACGGTCATTTTCTCCACCAGCTCAAATCCACATTCGATGCAGTGTTGAAAAGGTTTCACGGGGGGCAGTTGGCAAAAGTCCCCTGTCACAACTATTTGGACTCCCCCGAATGCGCGTTGATCTGAGTTTGATTTTTGTCGTGCTGCTTTCATAACCTCGTTTAGCCTTTCAAAATGTAGGTTTTCCACCATGCTAATCTCGTCAATTACAAGAACGTCCGTATCCCTAAACCGTTTCGACACAAACTTCCCATGTGCGGCTGCTCTTAACTCGTCCAGTGTGCGCTTGTGGTGATCTGGGGTCCAGCCCGCAAAGGTCCAAGTCGTGGATCCACCCACTTGCAATGCTGCTCGGCCGGTTGGTGCAACAATGCGAACAGTCTTACCCATCGTTCGGAGGCGCTTCGTGAAAGCTTTTAGTACCGTCGATTTACCGCAACCAGCCGAGCCGGTATAGAATACATTCTTCCCACTTGCTATCAACTCAACTAAGCGGGCCTGTTCTGGACATAGCGTAGGTTCCTCGACGTGTTCGGGATTTGCTGTCTTCTGCTTACTCGGTGACACCGGAGAAGAGGGCACAGATGTTGGTATCTGACTCGACATACTCGGTTCATCGACTGTATATATATAATCACGTTTCAGGCTTGGTGATGGTGAAGACGAAAGAAGGATCGGAGACGTAACAGTCTTCTGTAAAGTTTCAGCTGTCGACGTAGGTGTTTCGTCGTCATCACTAAGCAAACTGATCACTTCTATATGAGAAGTTTGTATTTTGCGTCGCTTTGGGGTACGTTGAGCGACCCCTCCGTCTTGAGATTCGGCAAGACTTGAACTTGGTTGTGGCGCAGGATAAACCGAAGTGTATTGCTGAGAGGGGAGCACGGCTGCTTGCAGACAGGCCTGGGGAGGGTTGGGCCATAACTGAGGCTGCGATAAGGGGGCTTGATTAGTTAATTGAGGTAGTTGGCCAGCATTGGGTTGGGCCGTTGTAGAGCCTGAGGTTGACTCTGGATGATGAAAATACCAATTGTTAGCATCAATAATGTTACATGTTTATGTTTACCTAAGTACATAATGTTTAGGTAGTCTTACTCAATTTGTTAGACATGTTTTACCTTACCTACCTGTTAGGAGGTAGGTACCTAAGGTAATGGAATTTTGTGTTGGCGGGAAAGGTTACAATGCATAAAAGGTGACGGCTTCTTTCCGAGCTGCAGGCGATGGATCAAGTAAAGTAGGTCAAGTGCCAGAACACATCTGGGGTAGTTGCCCTGATGGGTAAATTGCCAGCTGATTGAAGCTTGACGCGCCTCCCTGCAGCGCGTCGCGAATTAAATAATGTGGGGTCTGTGGTACCCAACCCTGCGGGTAGTCCGTTGAAGGAGACAGTATGGTTCTACCCGCGATTTCCCAATCTTGTTTCCTATGCGTTACTTCCACTTTTTACCATGACTTTTAAGTATCATATTCACAGCTTATAAGAAACAAGCTTTAAGGTTAACGGGATACCATCAAACTATTTCTATTAATAAAGCGCACTATCTCTTCATATACTAGGTTAGGTAAGCTTAATAAATAGAAAGTTACCTACCTAAGCAGTAGAAGGAGTCATATGTCTACTATCATACGGTCATGTAAAAAGATTCATGTAAAGAGATGCAACGCTAAACCCCAATATCTCATCTATCATATCTCAAAAAGTCACAATAAAAAGACACCCATATTAATTATTTTACTGTATTTTGACTATAAGTCTACCTAAACTAACACGGTGATACCTGTACACCATTCATACCCTTTAGCAACCCTTTGTTCGCTCTCGGAGCTTTCCAAGCTAATATTGTTGTAATTGGGACACAGCCCATCTTGTACTTAATAGCATCACCCCCCCTTTCTAGTCGTGATCACTTGCGTTCGTCCCCCTCTCGTAGCGTCCGCCCCCTTATTCGTAGATAGGCTGGCGAGTGTTCTTGGCACGTAGATAATACACGCGCGGTGTTTCTTTCTCCGCACACACCGGCTCTTCCCGTACGCCTCGTTGAACTCCCCTGAAACATAAAAAAGAAGAAGAAAATCCAAGAAAGATGCAAACGGCCCGGTTGATATCCCAAAGTTCCTAACGTAGATAGATTTTATGCTCCCGATTTGAAATCCCAGTTATGTGGCGTTCAAGCGGGCTAAGTGCGATGTTCTCTCGCTCGTATATAAGTAACGGTACGGTCCGCAACCCGCGGGCTGGTATGTTGGGTATCCTTCCAACAATATACAGAAGAAACCCAGGTCCGCATGTGGACAAAAGTAGGGGATGATAATATAAGATACAATGTTATGACTTAAGACAAGTCTGAGGGGCGGCAGACATTCGTGCGGAGATATTCTGGTGTTACTACCTTAATCCGCTAAAGTCTACCTCAGGATTTATGTGGCCGAGGCCTAAGGTATTCATCGAGACGCTTTCTGAATTCGCTCGCTGTAGTGCGTGGAAGTCGCCAACGGTTCTCGGTATTTGCGATGGTTGATGTTGATGTTGATGTTGTGGTGGATGCATGATGAAGCTATTTGCTCTTTGTGGAGGTTGACGATGCAGCATATTATTCATTATACTGAACTGCGGGTTTTGTGGTAAACTCTGCTGTTGGCTCATTCCCGCCATATTGGTTGGTTGGCTTAAGCCGTGGCTCAGGTTTGTGTGCATGTCTGTTTGCATTGTATTGCCCATGGTGTGATTCTGGCTCATTCCATGTGGTAGGCCGTGATGCTGATGTTGATGCTGATGTTGATGTTGGAGATGTGGTTGCTGCGGATTCAGAGACGCTTGCTGATTAAATGAATGCTGTGGTGGTTGTCCCATCGGACTCATTATATCAGGGATTGAGTTGAACTCATTGTTGTGGTAGTCCACGCCTGGAGACATGACCGGCGGCGAACTAACTATGGGGAAAGGCGATTTCATATCATCGCCGCTGTTAGAGTGAGCCGAGTCCGTCCCGATATCTTGGATGTGCTGCATGCTACCCGGGGTATACGGCTCGGTCTTGAAATCCATCATCGGAGGTTGAGCCATACCAGCGTTACCGAATCCATCAAAGATATCGATGTTTTGCATGCAAGCATTTTCCGGAGCACGCTGGAGAATGGGATTGGCCAGGCGAGGCAAGACGTCGTGGACCTTGTTCAACAAAAGCGGGAGGAAATGGTGGTCTCCATTGCGAAGGACTGATAGGAGCTGCAGTAGCGAGTTAAGTTGCTCCCGAGGACCCATACTGAAAGGATCGCCAGATGAGGGTAAAACTGATAGGACGTCGATCAATGAGGATGAGATCTCCAGCAACTTTGCAACGAGGGGCATTCCTAGCAATTCGGTACTCTGGGTTTGGAACTGGGATGTCATGGACATTAAATCTCGCGACATGTCGATAGGGTATTGCAATTGCATCTGATCTTGACTGCCCTGAGGAGCGCAACCATTCTGCATGCTCAGGTGCCACGTAATCGTTTTAAGCCATTGCTGGTTTGCCCGCAAGTCGGAATCCTGAACGTTCATGTACGGCGGAATCATATCCGAGAATTGCTTCTGTAAAGCACTGAGATACGATGGCGAAGACTCGCTACGAGTCTTATTCCAGAAAGTGATAAACATATCATCAAACGGCCTAAAAAGATTCACCAACAGGATGTATCCATTCAACTGAGGTGCAAGGGGATCTGTCGGGTCGTCGGTCATGGTAGGAAGATTAATAGAAGCCTGGAGCGTCAGAGGTCGACCACGCTGCAGAGCATACGCCCTTTTAAAAATGTTAGTTTCAGCAACGCCAGGCGCAACTTGTTGACAATTTAGGGGAATTACCTTTCTGTTACAAACAGAAGCCAATAGAGACGTCGTCGTCGCGAGGCCTCGATATTGTCATATTGTAAGTATGTCTCCTCCTTGTTCATTCCGATGATATGAGCTAAAGTCGTAGCCTCTCGGAGATAATACCAGGCCTTGTCGTGCATGTCGAGGGCGTAGTGAGAGCAGAAGAGAAAATAGCTGGTGCAAAGGCTGTTCAGAGATGGCGATTCCTGGTATTCATATCCTTTTCGAACTCGAATCGTCTCTTCGATCAAAACCATTCCGGAAGCGATGTTGGCTCCGGGCAAATGCTCTAAGAGAGGGTCGGCGCCGGGCACATTCATTCCAGGTTGAAACATCATCCAGGCGCACAAAGACGTAACAAGACAATATGTGTCGAGGCCTGAATCGAGATACATCGACTGCTGTTCGAGTCGCTGTCGGTGGAGAATCGGCATAATCGGGTACATGTTGGCAAAGAAGAATTCGATACATTCTTTGGCCATCTCGCTGGCGAGGAGACCAGGAGTCGGGGACAAGGTAGGGCTGCATGGAGGGCTGTTGATTCCATTTAGTCGGCTCTGAACTTTTGCTGATAGACTAGTTTGTCGTTGCGTCTCGCGGAGTTCGCTAATAACCTTCGCTCTCGAACCCTTGGGGCCTTTCTTCTGAGGTATCGCATTGTAAGTGCAGGTTAACTGGGCCGAAGCACAGTTGCGGCACGGGTTGATGCCGTCGCACTTTACTTTTCGTCGATGGCAAGCATCGCAAGCCCGTTTTACAGCCTGCGACATCTTGTCTTCCTATCTCTTAGTTTACCGAGACTAGGTACCTAAATTAATTCGAATTTCCGAATTTCGATAGAGTCGACACTGTCGAATGTCGAATGCGCCACACTGATAATTGATATGTTACACGCCGTCTTCTTCAACTACTTCCAGATCCAGCCTATCCAATGTTTACCAAGGCTTGTGTGGAGAGCGTATGCTGGACACGGCAGTATTTGCGGAGAGAATCCGGAGTGCTGGAGTGAAGCAACTGCACAAGCGTGCTTAATCGGCCCGTCGCTCAAAGAAAGGCGGAGGGATCACGTTCATTGGGAAAACGCGGGGATTCGAACGTCCGGGGTTCGTCGAAGTGGGTAGGCCGACTTGTTGGTCACTAACACGGACGTACTAATAAAAGAATGCAACAGATGACATATGTTATGTCAAGATAGTTTAGAATGAGAGGGTTTTGGGAAACAGAAAAGAGACGGTCGTCAAAACAGATCACGACACTAGAACAATAAAGAAAAACGGAAGAAGAGGGAGCAATTAGCCAGGTAAGAAGGAAAAAAAGATGGGGATTAGGACGAGCGGATGGGATGGTGGATTTTTAGCGTTTTAGCGAATGGGTCAAGCTAAGACTAAAAGACAGAGGAGAGTGTTCCCCGGCTAGTAGGAATAGTAGGAATTAGTAGGAAGGGGAAAGGGAAATGAGAGCGGCTTAAGGGCCCCTAAGAAGGCTAAGAAGGCTAAGAAGGCCTAAAGGGCAAGGGTTGGCAGGGCACAGAGGCAAGAGACGAGACAAGAAACCTGGCAAGGACTGGGAAAAGACAGGAAAAGAGGAAAGAGAAAAGAGAAAAGGCACTGTGAGTGGCCGATGTTACTATCCTGACTCGGGCTAGCAGCACCGAAAGAGGTAAACGTCTCCGGCAAATGGCGTTGTGCTCTGGTATAAGAGATGAGTAATAGTAATATTAAGTAGAATACCGAAGTCCAAACGAAGAGTGACGCTAACACCGTTTTGTTCCTGGCGAGCCTTGGCGAATTACATAACGAGGACGATACAGTGTGGCTGTACTATGTGTGGATGTAGATGTGAGGTACCGGTATACTTATATGTAGAGAGACAATGACTTGTATCGACTTATTAAATCTTGTCTCGCAGCCACCGACATCTTCCTATCCGCTTCCATCCACTATCCACTCTGCCACTATCCACTATCCACCCCCATAATCCACTCCCCAAGCGTTCCCCCAGTTTGACCAGTACCGTAGGTACGCAGTAGTAAAACTGTACCTAACCTCAGAGAGGAAACCTGCCCGAACGGTGACGAGGCGGCAGTGTACGGTAATATATATGCATGTGAAGCATTGAAATATAAAAATAAAAATAAAAATGAAAACAGATTATAATTTAACAGTGGCCAGAGTAATGCATCATCTAATTGGCCACCCGTCGACCTAACCAAATGCCTCAGGAGTATCAATCGCAGGCATGTCAACAACGTATCGTAGCGGATAGACGAGAAATAAAAACAAAGGGCACGCACTTAGCAGTAGGAAGCTCTAACTTTGCTAGGGGTGAGACCTGGGGAATGTCCAGGGTGCTGACGACGAATCCGGGTCTCCAGCGATAACCTCAGCAAAGGCTCGTGTTCTAATTCGTACTTTTACATAATACCGTAATACGATACGTGATGGTGATGATGATGATAAATATTATGTCTACTCTCGGAATCAAAAAGAATCGAGCTGAATAGTGGCTTGCATATAATCTATACCGAGCGCTGCAAAGAATGACCCCCAATAGGATAACATTAACTTACCATATTATTAAACGTGAATAGGCACTAACAAGAAAGTTGAGGCTGTCTGATCGCCAGGATGAAAATGAAAGGAAAAAAAAAGCGGGCAGGTTACTTGACATTCGAAGGCTTCTAAAGAGGATTTGATATTATTGTTCCTGTAACCATTCATTCCCCTTCCTATTGACGTTGAACAAACCTCGCCTACTCCGCTGCCATCTTCGTCTACAGGGCTATGACAATGGTCAAGCAGATAAAACAACCGGTTTGTTTCTTATTCTCCGTACCTCTGTACAAGGTAGGTATTTACCTAATAGAGGTAGAGAGATATGAGGCTGACCGCATACGCGGATACACTGCTTAAAGAACCCACAGGCGGCAGATGGGGAGGCAGAGATAAAAAAAAATTTTAAAATAAATAAAAATAAAAATAAAAAATTGGGGGTAACCATCATCGATCAATCCGATCAATCCGATCAATTGAGAAATGTCCGCAAATTTTACAAATTTACGGGAGGATCGTCCAAGTGCCAGCGTCGCAAAACGCGAACTTCTGTGGCACTCCGCAATCAACGCAACGCAGCGCAACGCATCGGCCGAGCTGTTGGAATGTCCGTCTGCTGCATGGAACAAATCGCTAAACATTCTTTCGAATGAGAATAAAAACAATAAGGCATACCTACCTATCCAAGCAGTTTAGATTAATATCGCTTCTTGGATGTCCCGATAGGCAGTCGAAGCGAGAGAGTATTGGCGAATAGATGTCGCCCATCTTTCTTTCTTCGCGGGCGTTGATGGTGGTGATCTCCCGCGATTCCTAACGAGCCAAACGTATTGTACCAAAAATAGCCTTAGAACAGGCTTTGAGTGCTACGGGGTGTCCAGATGCTACGTTGTATCGTAGGCAGTTGGTTGCCTCGCTGTCATTGGTGGGTGGCCAAGTGATCGCCCAGCATTACTCGATATGCAAATTTCAAAGGAAAACAAGATGGAATATTCTTTGGAAGTCTTCCCGTTTATCCGGGTATTATTCAGAAAGAGATGGCGAATACATATCTTAGTCAAATATTATATAGTAATGCTACCTTCATAACTATCACGATATCTACAGTATGTGAGTCTTCATGAATTAAACCATCTCGACTACTGTGTTGCTTCTCGCGTAGGGCTGGAGCTGGAGTTATGTAGCATAGATTTGTTAGTGGACTTCGTCATCCATGTCTTCCCCCACCACACCCCTAATATCTGTACATACATACCTCATCGGTAATCCGCCTCTCCCCGTTAACACTATCAAGGCTCACCTTAAAATTATCCATCCATCGAGGATCGTGACATCCGCAGCCAGGGTTGGCTTTGAAACGGGGTAAGTCAAACGTTGAAAGACGAAAAAGGTACGGACAATCCCAGAATAAGAAACTATATCAAGACTCGAGCCCCAAAATGGAGGAGGAGTGTGCTTCGAAGGATGACAGCCAAATGACAAAGAGCCCTAATGCGCGACATTGACTCGTAACCTTCAGCATTCGGCTTTGCCCGTCTGACCAGCATTGATATTTTAAGCCTTACCCTCGGTAAACGATCACCAAAGATAGGTACCTAACTACTATATTCTGATCTTCGAGTTCAAAATAAACAACCTATCACGAAACAAAGAACAGCTGTTTCTAGCAAGTCTTCTCCGCGCCTGGTCAATAGATCTACATCTGCACATCTGCAAAAAGAGAAAAGGGGCGGAGTTTTCTTGCATCTTGGAGAGCTCGTCCAACAAGATAACATCCCGTCGACGGCCCCCGGGAAAGGTTTGCTTTGGTCGCAATAAATCGTATGTCGTGGTATCTCGCGAAATGCATTACCAGACCTTCGGGACCACACCACACCACACCCCTCTTTACCGTGGGCTGATTAGGTACCGTCACTACCCATCTAAATAGTTGTATTTCAGCTCATTGCGCGCCACATCCAACTACATCCAGTCATCCTGTTCGACGACTCGTCGTCATCGTGACTTGATTGCGCTGAACGGAGGTCGCACAGCAGCAGCTTACCTACTACCTAGAACCACAGAGCGAGTAGTTAGTGTAGGTAGTTGAAGAAAAGTCTTGCTACCTATGTAATATGCATGATACGTGACATGGAAAACATGGATGACGATCCTGCCAACAGCATTATGCTCATAGTGCGAAGAGATACAGTGCCGCTTAGACCACACAGCATCCTGTGCCTTTTGTGTTGCCCCAATTGCCGTTGCCCAGCTCGCAAATCACAAGCGAAAAGAGGAAAGTCTCTCGGCCGAGACACCCATTTTCAGTCGTCGGTAAACATACGTAATAAAGCATAAAGCACTTTTATTTCTCTTAACGTAAACCACAGATCAAAAGCCCACACAGGTTAAAGGCCCATAATTTTAGACTTTTTATATTCAATTAAATATTACTTAATTACAACACATTTAATTCAATTAAAATTTAATTAATCTTTTTCATTAATATTTTTTAATTTAATTTAATACGTTTATATATTATAATTTATATTCTCGTAAATGTTATAACATTAAAAAACTCGTTAAAATTTTTATAAAACATTATTTTTAATAATAATATTATTAATTATAATGTTATTATCTTTTTTTTTAATTTAAATAATATTTTTTTTAATTTAAATAAAAAATCTTTTATATTATAATTATTTATTTTTAATTTTTTAACGTTTAAAAAATATATAATTTATTTTTTAAAAATTTATAACTTTTTTTTTAATAAAATTATTTTATATAATAATTTATATATAATTTTATTTAATTTATTTATAATTTTAAAAATTTTAATTAATAAATTAAATTA